TATATATATATATATATATATATACGCTTCACGATTCAAAATATATATATATTATTATTTTTTTTTTAATAATCGAAAATAAAATAAAAGAAAACGAAAATAAAAGAATGAGGAAGAAAAAGACACACGATCTAAACCCTCTCAATGAAAGCACCAATGATGAAGATCTTGTGTCCCGCCTGTCGACAAGCCGCTCCCGCGCCTTAAATCGCTCGATAAGTGTTAGGAAGTCGCACACTCGCAGCCTTTCTAACGAATATAATTGCCTTAGAATTTTGGTGAAAATACTAAAGCAAAGAGAGAATGAACAAAAGTTCTTGATTTCTATTAATTCTTGGATGATTCAATTAACATAGGGGACATGGGTATTTATAGGAGAAAACTAAATCTAATTCTAATCTAACTAGATCTCCTAAACTGTACAGTAAATAATTCCTATTCCAACTAAATCTCTAATTAAAGCAATTAAATATTAAATAACCTAAACAATCTAGATATTATTGTGCAAGAAGGAAACTAAATATCCTAGAGTCCTAATTGACTAGATTGTCTTGATCTTGTTTGGCTTGCACTCCAAACAATTCCATCCTCACGCCTCATAATACTTCGGCCCGTCTCGTACGCCTTCCATCCGTGCGCGCCGACCTTCGGCTTCCTATTCCTTCTCGCGCGCGGTATCGCGCGCGCTTGCGCCCCACGCACGTCAACGCCAACCGCCTCAGCCTCGCCTAGTCCCGCACGGACTAGGCTTCGCGCATCTGGCCCCCACGCGCGCGCCATCTTGTGCGCTATTCTTTCGCTGCCGCCCTTGTGCGCGTATGCGCCCAGCACGCCTATGCCTTCGCGGTGTAGGACTCCCGCGTTTGCGCTACACCCGCGCGCTTTCTTGCGCGCCCGGTTCCAATCGATCCTCTCGCGCGCGTGCCGTCGAGTGCTCGTCTTTCCGAGGACTCTGCCCGCGTGTACGCCCAACGCCCGCGCATCACCACCCGATGCGCGTCTCTCGCCCATTCGCCCATCGGCCACGCCTGTCCAACCCTCGTGTTCTCCGGGCTCGATCACCACTTCCGCATCAAGCGCACATCACGCACGGACGCGTCGGGTACCGAGTGTTCCGAGAAGTTCAGCGTGAGCATGCGAATTGGTGAAGAGGTAATTTTATTACCTTGAGTTATTCATGTTATAAGCATGTTAGCTTGAGTTATGCGTGTTCATAACACGGCTTTAGGCCGTTCGGTCGTGCGAGTGCATCACGATTATGCTCATGTTTTAAGTTAAGTCTCTCGAGTAGTAAGCATGTAATCAGCTTCCTTATGTTATATCATGATCAGTCATTCAGTATTGTTCGAGAGAAATTTCATGCTTAAGTATCGTTTTGCCAAAAGAAGTGGTCGTGCACCTAGCGCGTGCCACCGACCGTTCATGCTTAGCAAGTATGTTAAGTTCAAGTTCCTCGAGCACTTCATGCTATTATGTTCAGTAAATCATGTTTTATGTTCAGTTGAGGTTGAGTTGCCAAGGTAAAGT